GGGTCCTGCTGCTCGGGGGCGAGAGCCTGGTCCATCCTGAGGCGGCTTGCGAGAGCTCACAGCACGCCCTCATCCCACGCTGCCTGTGCTCCCCCCTGTCCTTCCCTCCCTCCTCCCCCCTTCTCCCCTCCTCCCCTCCCCCTCCTCCCCCCTTCCTTTCCCCCCTTCCCCTCTCCTCCAGATCACCAATTTTTAGTTATCATGTATTTTTGCCGCTCTCCACTCTGGCGGTTTCCCGATGAGGGCTGATGGGCCACACCTGCAGCCCCCCCCCGCCCCCAGATGCAGGAAGCATGGCTGAGGCTGGGGGTGTGACAGCACCAGGCTTTCTCAGGGAGGGCGGTGGGCCGACCCGTTGTGAACACGTGGGCCGTAGTGCGGGGGAGGGGACGGCGTGGCCGAGACCTCCAGTGCCAGCAACGGAAGCTGTCCGTAAATCTGCAATGACCAATGAGGGACCTTGGAGGATTCTGAGCAAGAGAAGGGCGTGAAGCTGTGTGTCCAGACCAAGGAGCGGGCGCAGGCACCTGCTCTAGCCGCCCACTGGCACGTGTGCTGCACCTGCTGTGTGAGGGGCTCCGGACCCTCCCCTGAGTTCTGGAGGCAGAGACGGGGCTTTGAGGCCGGCTGTGCAGCCTCAGGCACGCCCCCAGCCTCTCTGAGCCGCGGTCTGCACACCTGTGCCACAGGGATGCAGAGGGGAGCACGGAGACCCAGCAGAGGCCTGTTTTGTCCAAGGTCAGTGCTCAGAATAAGTGTATTTCCTCCTGTTAGTGGAAAAACCCCACATTCCAGGGGAGATGATCTTGAAATGATTTCTGAATCAGCAACCGTATCTGATCATTTATGCTCCTGGCACAAAATAGCCTGATGCCTTTGCTTCACCTTCCTCCCGTGTGCTGGCTGCTGGGGGGTGGCCAGAGGCTCTGTGTCCCCGTCCCGTCGGCCCCGCACGTCCTGGGGAGTGTACAGGCGGGTATCAGCCGGACAAGGCGCCCTTTGTCCCCTTCTACCTATCTTACCTGTCCCAGGGTGCAGAAGACCTGTGTAAAGGTAGAGTTCTTAAAAAACCGTGTTCAAAACACACATAGCATAGGGGTGCCTGGGTGGCTCCGTCGGTTGAGCATCTGACCTTAATCTCGGCTCGGATCATGAGGTCACTGTTCATGGGTTCGAGCCCCGAGTCGGGCTCTGTGCTGGCAGTGCGGAGCCTGCTTGGGATTCTCTCTCGCTCCGTCTCCCTCTGCCCTCCCCTGCTCACACTCTCTTTCTCCCTCGAAATAAATAAATATACTTAAAAATTTTTTAAATAAATTAATAAAATAAACGCCTCTGTAACTCAGAGGCGTTTTAGTACATTCATGGTGCTGTGTGACCATCACCTCTATCAGGTCACAAACTTTGTCATCGCGCCTCTCAAGCAGGCAGGCCCTCCCCGGCCCCCTCCCTGCAGCTGCAGGCAGCCACCCGTCCTACTGTCTGTTTCTGTGGATTCACCTTGGTCGGTGATCTTTCCTCTCCATGGCCAAACAGTATTCTGTTGTATAGAAAGGCCACATTCTGCTCATCCATTCAGCCGTCAGGGGACATCTGGGTTGTCCCCTCCTTCCGCCCCTTGTGAACAGCGCTGCCCTGAACACTCGTACACGAGGTTTTGTCTGGACACCTGTCTTCAGGCCTTTGGGGCAAGTACCCAGGAGAGGAATTGTGGGGTCCTGTGGCACTCGGGAAGAAGTTCCCGACAGCCATCCACCCCGGCTGCCCCATTCTACACGCCCTTCAGCATCGCACGCCCATTCCACGCTCCCCACATCCTGCCGACACTTGCTATTTTCTGTTGTTGCGACGGGAGGCGGCCCCTGGCCCACTTCGGGTCTGCGTGTCCCTGATGAGTGAGAGTTAGAATCTCTTCCTGTGCTCCTTGGCTATTTATGGCTCTCTGGAGAAATAGCTCTTTAAGCCCTTTGAGCCTTTTGAAATCGGATTGCCTTTTTGTTATTAAGATATGGGGGCTCTTTTATTTTCTTATTTTTAATTTTAAAAAATTTTAAATGTTTATTATTTTTGAGAGAGAGACAGAGCGTGAGTGGGGCAGGAGCAGAGAGAGAGGCAGATGCGGAATCTGAAGCAGCTCCAGGCTCTGAGCTGTCAGCATAGAGCCCCATGCGGGGCTCGAACTCACAAACTGTGAGATCATGACCTGAACTGAAGTCGGCTGCTTAACCAACTGAGCTCCCCAGGTGCCCCTGCGGGGGCTCTTTTAGATTTTAGATGTAATCATTGGTTCATTCCTTCTGTCATTCCGCAAACACTCTAAGACAGCCGGCGGTGGGGGGGGGGGGGTCGCTGCCCACTAAACCCCAGATTTCGCTCTGACCTGGCTCTGCTGTGGTCTGCTGGGGAAGCTGGATGTGGAAACGGCCACTGTGAGCCCACTGAGGAGGTGGTTACTCGAGACACAAATGCCCACTGCCTGCTTCCTCGGTGCCTGCGGCCTGAGGGGTTTGAGCTCCGGAGACTTGCACTTGGGCACGAGGCTAGCAGAGTTGGCCAGACAGGAAAGGGGAGCACACACGGCGCCCCAGGCAGAGACCAGCACAGGCAGGGGTAGCGGGGTGGTCGGAGGCCGGATCCAAAGAGGCCTCTGATTCTACACCAAGGGGCCTGGGGGGCTACGGTTGGTCTTTGAGCAGGGGAGTGACGTGGTCAGACCCCACCCTCAGCCCACGGGGCTCCCCCCACCCCTGTCCGCTCCTACCCCAGCAGGGTGCCTACCCCAGGCAGTGGGCTTTGCAGCCTGGAGTCTGCTGGGAGACTTTGGGACTGGGGAGCGTGCTTTCGGCATCTGGGATCCAAAGCGGGCTCCTGCCCGAGGCCTGGAGGCTGGTTCCCATCCATCTCATTTCCCCGGGTCGGTTTTCTGAGCATCTACAATTACTTTGGGCTGAATTCCCCGGATTCCAGCCCACTCCCAGCCCAACCCGCCCAGATGCTCTTCCGCCATGCCAGCCTCGGGCATTTCTGCCCATTGTGCCCGTGGGAGACCCAGGGGGGTCTTGGCCAGATTAGCGAGTGGGGCGGGCGGGCCGTGGGGATTGAGTGTCACCGGGTGCTCCGGCTGCGGCACGTGCTGCGGGCTCAGGCCACACGGGGACTTTCCCAGCCAGCTGTGGGTGCCTGGCTGCCAGCTGTGGGTGCCTGGCTGCCCTGGAAAACCACCGACTCGTTTCTCTCAAGAAAGGGGCTGGCAGCTAGAGGGCAGGAGGGGGGATCTCCGTGCGCTAGGGGGCCGAGGCCAGGGACATCGGGTCGTGGGGGCCCCTGGGGGTCTCCCTCAGCTCCGCACTCGGCCCCTCCCTAAGTAGGCCTGGTCCGCTGTCTGGAAGCCGGATGCCACTCTGAGACTTGGCCGGTGCCCAGAGGCCTGCCAAGACCACCCCCACCTCCTTCCAGCTCGCCCGCCCTCCTCCTCCGGGCGCTCAAAACCCAATAACGGGTTTTCTGTGGAAAACATTTCAGGGGCTCCTCAGAAGGCTAAACAAACTACCACATGACCCAGCGATTCCCATCCTAAGGCTGTGCCCCAGAGAAGAGAGGACGGGGACTCAGACAGGAGCGAACACGCCCATGTTCGTGGTGGTGCTGCTCACAGTGGCCGGGACGTGGCAGGGACCCGTGCCCGCCACCTGGCGCGTGGGGACGTGGAAGGTGGTCCCTCCGGGCGATGGAATATGATTCAGCCACGAAAAGGCACTGACACATGCTGGAAGTGGCTCGAAGCTGGGAAACATGATGCTAAGTGAAAGGAACCCGCCACGAAAGGTCACCCAGTGGGATTCCATGGGTATGAAAAGTCTAGAATATGCACATCCATAGGCACCCAAAGCAGATTAGTGGGTTCAGCACCTGGGAGAAGAGAAGAGGGAGTGTCTGCCGCAGGGAATGGGGTTTCTTTTTGGGGGCGGTGAGAACATCTGGGAACACGGTGGAGGTGGCGGCCGCATGACTCACTGCTGCTGAACTGACTGCACGCTGTAAACTAGGTAACGTTATGTGATGTGGATGTCACCTCCTAAAACACGCCAGTAACACCTTAAGTGAGGAGGGGGTGAGCTTGGCAAGTGCCCTCCTCTCTGTCCTCAGTTCCTGGAGGGTGTCGGATTAATTACACAGCACCCTCAGGGGACCACTCGGAGGATACAATGTTGCAATAAAGCATCCCACCCAATGCAGCACACAATAGGGGCTCAATTCCCATCAGCTCCTGGTCCTTCCCATGAATCCACTGTTGTCCAGAAATGCGGGGATAACAAGTAATAGCAGCTGTCCCCATGGATCCCTGAGGTTGTGTGGTCTGAGCCCATGTGGTGGTGGCGTGGGAGGAATAGATGTTTTATGCTCCCGTTTCATGGATGTGAATACTGAGGCTCAGAGAGGCGGAGTGCCTCCCCAAGATTATAGATGGGCTGTAAATGGAGTCAGGGGCCTATGGGTTTGGCTCCTGGCAGGGCCAGGCGACTCAGCAGCTGCCTGGCCCAGGAACCCCAGAGGGAGCCCAGGACCTACGAGGAATGGGGAAGTCTAATGGTCAGGAGTTGGGGTGCCTGTGGACGGCTCGGAGCTGATGGCCATCAAACCCAGGGCATGAAGCTGTCTGACCCGAAGCGTCTGTGTGTCTGGTTCAGAGGCCTGGGGGGCTGTGGTTCTTACATTCTGGGTGCGTTGGTCCCTGGATTTATGACCCTGGTTCTTGGGCTTCTGAGGCGGAGAAGGCATGGGCGTGAGCTCCTTTTCAAGCGAAGATCACGCCTTTTGGTCAGCAGGAAACGGCTTTTCTAGGGCAGGGATCTGTGTTCCGTTACCCGGTGGGCAGAGCGTGGCACACGGCGGGCGCCTGGAACCCCCCAGCTGAGCGGCGGGACTGAGGGAGGCAGGGCGGCAGGCAGAGGGCGAGGGGCCCCGCGCAGCCACTCACCTCCCGTGTCCTCCCCCCTCCGCAGAGCCCTGTCGTCCGTCGTGGCCCTGGGAGCCAACATCATCTGCAACAAGATCCCTGGCTTGGCCCCGCGGCAGCGTGCCATCTGCCAGAGCCGGCCTGATGCCATCATCGTGATTGGGGAGGGGGCGCAGATGGGCATCAACGAGTGCCAGTACCAGTTCCGCTTCGGACGCTGGAACTGCTCCGCCCTGGGCGAGAAGACGGTCTTCGGGCAGGAGCTCCGAGTAGGTAAGGGCGCCTCCGGGCTTGCGGGGACCCCCAGCAGTGCTACAGGGGCCAGGCCACCCCGCGCCCCGAGGCCAGGCGAGGCCGACGGTGTCTGCTCTAGCAGCTCTCTCTGTGCCCTGCTCGGAGCCTGGCCCGGGGGTGGGGGGCAGGGACCTGGGACCCCAGGGAGACCGGACAGTGTGAGTGGGTGAGGGGCCTCTCGCCAGGCCATGGGGCGGGAGGGCGTCGTTGCCACGAGGCTGCGAGCCGGCGGCAGGTGGCGGGCGGTGCCAGCAGGTAGAGGCGTGCCCCGCTCGGCCGCTGTGGGTCCAGGCACACCCCTGCCTCGGCTCTGCATCTGGAAATGGGACGACAGTAGTGCTTCCTGCACGGCGTTTGGGCCGGGGGCTGAGGTGAGTGGTGCCATTTGTGCGGAAGGAATGCCAGGCAGAGGGAGAGGGACGCGTGGGATGCTGTCGTGCATGTGTGGGAGCACCGAGTCCGACAGGCTGGAGGGGGCGGGGGTGTGCAGGTGGAGCCGGGCTGGGGAAGCGGGTGGGCCCCCACATCTGAGGCCAGTCCCACATGCTCTGGCTCTGTGTCCTCAAAGCCCTGAGGGAGGCTCTGTGGTGCCCATTTTACAGGGGAGGAGACTGAGGCCCAGGGAGGGGCTTAAAGGGAAAAGTGGGACTTGCAGAGCCCGGCCTAGATTGGAATCCAGCTGTGGGACCCTGGGCATGGCGCTCGGGACCTCGGTGCCCTGGGTCTCTCCTGCCCCTCCAGGCCCGCATCTAGCTGGTGCTCCATAAACTGCTGTCGAACGGACAAGGGTGCGGAGGTGATGCAACCTGGCTTCCAGGAGGGTCAGATGGGGGAGCGATAACTTGGGGGGCGCGGTGCCAGGCACGCAGGGCGCCCTGTGATTTCAGACCCTGGCCTGCAGGCGCCGCGCGTCCTTCCGACCCCAGTGGGCCAAGGAGCCACAGCTGCCGGGAGCCGGGCCAGAGCCAAGCTCCGCAGGGCTTGGAGCACCCGGTGTAGGGCTGGGGGTGGCGCGGGGGAAAGCCCCCAGGGCCCCTTTGTGGTGAGCAGCCTGTGGGTGGCACCTGGCACAGGCTGGAGGGTGGCACCACCCCCTCCCGGGGGCCCCACCACCCAAGTGCAGCTCCTGGCCCGCTGGGGAGGGCGGGGCTGCAGTCGGGAGGGCGTCGGCAGCGCTGCCTGCATTGTGCCAGGTGCCTGCTTGCCTCTCGGCCCCCCAGCCCCCGAGACTCGGGGCTCCCAGGCAGCTGTGAGCACCCGCTCCCTGCGCAGCTGAGCTGTGGGGTTGCCCGCAGCCACACGATCTGCAGGAGGCAGAGCTGGGTTCAGATCCGGGTGCCCCGTCGCCACCCTGTGTGTGAATCCTCGCCTCTCCACTGGGCAGAGAGCCGGGCAGAGGAGACGGGCCTGGGGCTCGGACGTCACCTGGAACCCCAGACACAGGCAGCGAGGGGGACGTGGCCTTCTCTCGGGGTCCGGTGCCAGGCAGGGGGGTTCACTGCTGATCCACTGTAAATGCCCATAAAAAGGCCACGGGGGGTGGCGCTGGCCCCGGCCCATGACCCAGGCCCCCTCGCAGTGGACGCCGTCAGTGCCCACCCAGGTGACCTTTACTGACCGTCACGTGGCTCCTGGATCATGGCCAACGGCTCATAGCTGTTCTCGGACACTAGCCCTGGGCCCAACGGGAGCCTGGGAGGGCTTGTAGCTCGGCCCGCAGGGCGGGTCAGCTACGGCCGAGGAGGGGCTGACGCGGGGGTGGGGGGTCTGCTGTCACGCCCCGAGCTCCCCTTGGGAACAGGCCTCGAGGGAGCCCAGGGGGCCCGCCTGTCACTTCCACAAGCATTTCAGAGGGCAGCGTTTTGAGAGCTGTCCACACCCGATGTCCCCATCCCTCACTTTCTCCCTCCCGCGCCCCTCCCCGGCCATTAATGATCTTTGGGTGCCCGTTGGATGCCCTCTTGTGTGCTGGGGCCCCGACTCACGCAGCTCTTCCTCCGGCTGCCTGCTGAGTCCTGAGCCTGCCCCCGTCGCTTCTCCCCTGGGCACGGGCTTGACGCCTCCGCATGTTGTTGCTTCGATCTTCCGTCCTCGGCCTTCCGCCTGACCTGGGCACCTGTTGTCTCGGCAGAAGCATGGTGTCATTGCCCCATCCATCCGTCCGCCCTGCCCCACGGCCGCTGTGGGGCCTGCCTCACTGCCCCCCCCGCCCCCCGGCAGCCGGCAGCGCCTCCTCCTGCCTCCCCTCCAGCCCTGGTCATCCCATGTCACTCCCTTCCTCTGAAACCTGTCATAGGTCCCCATTGCCCCAGGGTAAAATTAACTCCTTAGCTTGGAGTCTGAGTGGCCCCTGTCATACATCGCCCTCACCTCTCTTCATCCCTTCTAGAAGCCAGAGCCTCAGCCTGGCTGACTTCCAACCCTTTCCTCTGGGACTCTGCCCCACTGCCTGTGGTCCTGGAAGGCCCTTCCCCGCCGCTCTGCTTGCATCTGATTTCCCTGGAGAAGGCCCTCTCAGCCCTCCCTGGCTCCAGGCTGCCCCTTGTGAAGGCCTAGCGCCCAGTTCAGCCAGGAGGGCCCCCGCTGCGGGAGTCCCGTGGGCGCTGCAGGTGGTCTGAGCCGGCACCTTCTCCTCCCAGGCTCGGCCGCTGGGAGTCCCGAGCAGGAAGCGAGCCGAGTGGCAAAGCCAGCCCGTGTCAGAGGCATGCGGCTGCCCCGGGCACGAGACGGGAGACGGGCCATGAGTTGGCAGGCAGCCGGGGGCGCTCGTGGGAGCAGTCACTCAAGCGGTGCCAATTAATGATTGGCCCCAAGATGGGGAATGGCCGGGGTGGGTGGGACGGCCCCCTTCAGGCCTTGCCTGTGACCTTGGGCCATGCCTAAATCTTGAGAGCTGAAGGGAAACCCCTCGCAGGCAAAGGAACCCCCATGCCAACGTCCCGTCCCGTTTCCTGGCACTTGGTGCAGTTGCTTGTATGCCTCCAGGGATGAGGAGCTCACTACTCTGTGCTAGGTAGAGCTTTCTTCTGATGTTGCTGCACTGGTCTCGCCCTGGGACCCTCCAGGGGCTCGTTGCTCTGCTCCCTCCAGGGAGTCAGGACCCACACACGGGGTCACCTCATGTCTGGTGGCCCCCGCCCTCCGGCAACCCACGCCCACTCCAGGCCTGTTTCCCCAGTTATCAAGCGATGCTCGTGGCCGGGCCTCTCCTGCCCCGTCTCTTGTGTTACCTGGCAATGAGCTTGGGGAGGGGGCGCAGGGGGTGGGGGGGTACACCTGATAGTGGGGGCGGAGAGCCTTGTATTCCAGGGATGCGTGTTAGAGCCTAGGCGCCCTTCCTCGCTCAGGGCCGCCTCTCACGGACCGGCACCGTGATGGAGTCAGGCTTGTTGGCAAGGGCTCCCCGCACAGGGTGACGTGTAAGCTGAGGCCCAAGAGAGAATCAGAGTGACCCCGGGCAGCCTGGGGTGAGCACGGGGAAGGCGGCTCCAGGCGGAGGGAACAGCAAGTGCCAAAGCGCAGTGGCCACAAAGGGGATGGTATTTTCCAGGGACGCCAGGAGGGTGAACCAGAGGGTGGGGAGGCCTGAGGCTGGAGGAGGGGGGCGGGGCTGGGGCGCAGTGGACCCAAGGGCCCCACAGGAGGCACGAAGGCTCTGAGCAGGAGAGGGACTTCTGTCGAGCCCTGGCTCCCTCCAGCCGCCGCCCCGCCCCCTGGGGACCCGCGGGCACGGGGGCTGTGGCTGCGTGCGCTCCAGCCCCCACCCCACCCCCACCCCCGCCCCCAGCTGCTATGAAACACTGAATCGTGCCCATCAGGTGTGGCTCAGACATGACCAGGCATAGGGGCCGCCCCTAATCCTGCCTCATGTGCTGCCTGGGGCTGGCAGCCTGCTCTGCGGCGGGGGCTCAGCAAAGGCCGTTGGCTCCTGGACAGTCCTCTGTCCTGGACTTACCTCTGAGCGTCTGACACAGGAGGGTCTCGAGGCTTTCAAATCAGCCACCGGCAGGATCCTTGGAGAGGACGGCTGACCTCTAGGTCCTGCGCAACCACCGTGCGCCGGGCACCTTGCCTGGCACTGCCAACCGGGCCCAGGGGGAGATGTGACCGGGAGATGTGTCATTGGTTCCCAGGAGGAATGAGGGCTCCAGGGTCACTGCTGGCCAGGAGCCCTGGAACCATGGTGCATGCAAACCGCATTATGTCGTACGTGTGACACGCATGACAGATTTGGGGGCGCCTGGGGGGCTCTGTCGGTTGAGCGTCCGACTCCGGCTCAGGTCACGATCTCACGGTTCGTGGGTTCGAGCCCCGCGTCAGGCTCTGTGCTGACAGCTCGGAGCCTGGAGCTGCTTCAGATTCTGTGTCTCCCTCTGTGTCTCCCTGCTCACCCTCTGTCTCTCTCAAAAATAAACATTAAAAAAAAATACGTGACAGATTTCAACGACTTCAAAAGCAAAAACCAAGTAAAATATCTCTTTAATAGTCCCTGCAATGATTACACGATACAGTGGGGATATTTGGATATATTGGCTCGATAAACTCTGTCACCAAAATGAAGTCCACCTGGTTATTCTCACTCTTCTTTTTTTTTTTTTTTTAATATTTTTTATTTATTTCTAGGAGAGAGAGAGAGAGAGAGAGAGAGATAGACAGTGTGAGCAGGGGAGGGTCAGAGAGAGAGGGAGATACAGACTCTGAAATA